TCGAGCCACAAAAGCGCAAACAAAGAAAACAAAATTCACAATCCGTAGCAAAGTAATCCCTATCTGCTGCATCTGCTGCAAAGCTGGCCAGCGCACTGCGTTTTTTCAGTGCGCGACAAGAAATGTGACAGGAGTCTATAATGGAGACCACACGTATGCGCAGGAGGGTTGCTCAAAGGGGCAGGATGGTGTATTAAACATGCCTTTGGGTGTTTCATCCTCCTCTTCTTCTTCTCTTTCTTCTTCAAGCTCCTGCTTGGAGCTTTTCAATATTCGTTCCATGCCGCCTTTGGGCTTGCGCACGTTCTGCCCAAGCCAATGCATTCCACTGTGGATGATTTCTGCTGCCTCGAGAAAGGGATGCTCCATTCGCCCACCAAAATGTACAGCAGCACACACAATCCCCTTTGCGTGCTGGGATCGAGATCCCCCGAATCAATTTGACACACGCACTCCTCAAGACTGGATCCATCTCTAAGTTTGGCAGAGACGCTGGTCTGCAAGAACCCAATCTTGTGCATTGGAATGCGGTGGATCCCATTCACCAAATCCAGGGCAATTGCCCTTTGTTCGTCCACTGCTCGTGGCCCTTCGTCACATTGGTCAGCAGGGCCGCGAGGTGAAGCATCAAAGGACCAGTTCGTCTCCGACGACCGACTCTCTGACGAGATACACACAAACGGATACACACAGATACACACTGATGAACAGACGCATACACACAAACACACACCTTACAAACACCTACATGCACACAAGCGTCATACAGCATACATCCACCCACACACTCATACACACTCACGGACAAGCACATACAATCAAACACACACCTCCCCTACACACACCGACCCTTACGCATTCTATTTGTCTCGCCTGTCTCTTCCCCATGCTCACTCTTCAGCACTTTATGTCTGCAGCTTCAATCTTTCGAAGTTGTTCCCATGTGGGGTTATCCGGTCCTATAATTTTCAACCCTGCAACATATTTTTTTCAACCCTAGAACATTCTTTTTTAGCCCTGTAACATTCTTTTTTAGCCCTTGCACATGCTTTTTCAACCCTGGAACCTTCTATTTTAACCCCGCCACATGGTCTTGCAACCCTCTAACATTACCCCAAGAAACTTTAAGTTCCGCAACCGGGTCCCACTGAGGTCTAGCGGTGGTCCCCACGGGGCGCGTTGAGCATAGACCCTTGAGGGGGAAGTGTCAGTGAAGTGCAAATTTTGTGGCAGGCGTGCAGATTTCGTAGCGGGTGCAGTACTTTGTGGGCCTTGAAGTGCAAATTTTGTGGCAGGCGCAGTACTTTGTGGACCCCGAAGTGCAGATTTCGTTGTAGGCGCAGTACTTTGTGGACCTTGAAGCGCAGATTTCGTGGTAGCTGTATAGGCGCGGTACTTTGTGGACCTTGAAGTGCAAATGCCGTGGGAGGTGCAGCACTTTGCGAACTTGGAAGCGGAGAGAGAGAGAGAGAGAGATAATTTTGCAAGCGAGAGAGAGAGAGAGAGAAAGAAACCAGATGGAGCCCACGAACCCGAACACAAACGCGTTCGAAAAGCTACATATGTCCAAATGACACTCTTGTAGGACACTCTTGTGGGACACTCTTCTGGGACACTCTTGTGGGTCACTCTTACACGACACTCTTGTAGGACACTCCTTGCGGGGCACTCTTATAGGACACTCTTGTGGGTCACTCTTATGGGACACTCTTGTCGGACATTCTTGTGGGACACTTTTGTGAGACAATCTTGTAGGACACTCTTGCGGGTCACTCTTCTCTTGTGGGGCACTCTTGTGGGACACTCTTGTAGGACACTCTTGCGGGACAGTCTTGTGGGACAGTCTTGTGTGACACTCTTGTAGGAAACTCTTGTGGGACAATTTGTAGGACACTCTTGTGGGACACTCTTATAGGACACTCTTGTGGGACACTCTTATGGGGACGCTCTTGTGGGTCACTCTTATGGGACACTCTTGTCGGACACTCTTGTGGGACACTCTAGTGAGACACTCTTGTGGGACAGTCTTGTGGGTGACTTGGAGGACAATCTTGTGGGACACTCTTGCGGGACACTCTTGTGGGGCACTCTTATAGGACACTCTCGTGGGACACTCTTGTGGGACACTCTTGTAGGACACT